AGAGGTGCTTGTTGTATTGACAGTTGATGTCATAAAAGGTGACAGCCCTGGTAATGCCTTCCATGTTGTGCTGGGCAGCCTCGCAAAGGGCGTAATCCATGTTCATTTGTCTGCAAACGATGTATGATCAACTTGTGAATGTAGAACTTCATGTTCGGCTTGCCTTTTGCCTTTCTGGAAATCGACCATCACATGAGGCACAAAGCAGCCGTGGCAGGCACAAGCAACTCCCCCGATACCTGTTGAGTCCAGCTTGTGCCGAGTTGCATTTGCTTGATTTACCGCCTGGTGATTGTTGCAGCTAGATTTTTCCAAAGTGTCAGCAGCCTCTGTAAGATGTGCTTTATACCTGTCCTTTCCCACCATGAACCCCAGCCCATCTGCAAGCCATACTTCATCAAATGGCTTGATGGGATGCAAGTGTTCGGCTTTGAAATTACCGTCCATCACAAATGACTGGGTATATTTCCAGCTTGGAGTTCTTATCATCACTTAGGTCACTTAAGTATGAAACTAGACTCACTCATCAAGTGTTTCATTCCCTGAAAAGGATATGTTGATCCCAGGCTGAGGACATGTTGGGCAAAACAATGCGAGATCTCCGGCATTCAGGGTGTTGGAACGATGACCAAAGCCATGCCATTTCATGGTCTTGAACTGCCTCCACTGTCGAGCGACTCTCATGAGCTCTCTGTATCAGTCCTTGCCAAGTGCCTTGTCAATATAATGTCCTTTAGATGAAGGAGATATATAATTACCGGAACAAGGTGAGGAAACATGCTGGAGGTTATTCGCCGGAGCTTGCTGTAATAGTTCATTGCGAAGGTGCCGCATTCTAGGTTGTCCAATATAAAATTGTTGAGCACTCTGAAGGTGAACACAGTCTTCGGTTTGTTGAATGATGCAGGGAAAAATCCATGTCAAAACATTTGAATGTCCGGACTCATGCCATTTGGACAATCACAGCATCGAACCTCGAGGCGATGAACTCCGGACTTGTCGACGATGACCATGGTGTTTTCCTTAGGCTGGAACTCTGGTCCCAACACAGATGGTAGATCTTCAGGCTCAAGCTGGTCCTCGGGTTCATCTCCTTCGAACAAATCCCATCTATTTGCGAGTGCAGGATATTCTTTGCCATCATGACTGAGGTGTATGACGAGTTTGACATGAGCGAGACAACTTTGCTTGAAGAACTGACCATTCCATTGACTGATCCAGTGGAAAGGATTGTGACGATGTTGACTCCTGCAACATCCCGTGCAATAGAGTGGCTCACCAAGACAATCTTGACATTTGTAGACCCCATCCTGGTTGCAGACAATGCATCTCCTATCTTCTGGAGGAGCTTCTCGATCCAGGAGGTGATGCAGATATGATTCCTGCCTTGGGAGCCATTGCCTCAGGTAGTCATTCTGGCTCTGCATTTTTTATACTTAGCAATGTTTGAACGACACTCCAATGGTTTACATTCACTTGCCATTGTTTTTGGAAGCTGCAAAGGCTTGAATGAGCCTTGGTCTTGCTCATAAGTATTATCAGGACAGTCTCCCCAAGTAGGTGGTGCCGGAACAGGCTGAAGTGTTGGTGATTCCAGGGGAGAGTTAGGCATGGACCTGTAGGTATGTCATTTTGCGCTTGCAAGCAGGACCTTGACCCAAGTTTTCCTACCTTTTCTGCCCCTTGCTTCTACCCTGTGGGATTTTTGCAGCAGGGTGCATAGACCTATCTTCATCTTATTTTTGAATGTTGCAAGAACAGCATTAGCTCAGGAAGGTCGCACGAATTGTTATTCCAATGCTATGTTTGTGCAGTATTGGTTGTTCATTACAAATTTATTTCCATTAATGGCATCATGTCTGATATGGGTTGATTAACCAATTGTTAGGCTTTGGTCAAAGTTGAACTTTGAACCAATATTAGTTACGCCTTGCTTACCCTCAGCACATTCACCAATCAGAGTCACCATGGCAAGATCAGGTCATTCCACTCACTTGTCTCCTGGAAGACATAGGGCACGTCAACCCCAGACACAGAAGCTCACAGAAACCGAAATTTCTGAGCTGAAGAACTACCTTCCTGAGTGGACTTCTGCGAAAAGGAGCGAGAAGCGGGCAGTTTTCACTGCAATTGCCAGGGCTGCCAGGTTGTTTGCGCCAAAGGTGGACCAAGGACAATGGAAAAAGAGGAAGCAGATGATACATCCTTGTTGCGATGAGAAACAAAAAATTTAATGTCTTACACTTCCTTCAATGCTCAGATGTACAAGACTTGGTTGTTCAACAACAAGAAAAAGAAGGAAAGGAAGGACATGATAAAGTATGGGAGGAAATGGACACCTAGAATGGTGATCTACCAGGAGAATCGGGAAGAGGTGCTGAAGAGGATTGAGGATGAGTCCGGGGCAAAGCCAGGAGATCCTGGTATGTTCAAGCATTATCAGGCGGCTGTGAAGAGAGTCATGGCTGAATTGTCTGACGACGAGTTGGAGAAGGCGAAATAAACCACCGAAGAATGGTCCAACAACTGTCCTCCTCCCCATTCACGTTCAAAGTGTGGAAGAACAAAGATGGCAACATGGTAGCATCGGTCGTATCAGGCAGGTCGCCTTCCCATCGGATGGGTAAAGTCAAAAACACGCAAAGGATAATCATCCAAAGCCCTAGGGATTCATCCTCCGAACCCGACAGTGATTTCGGGAATGACACTCATCATATGGATGATGATGATGATGATGATGATGATGACTCGGCTGATGGTAGATCACCAAAAAAGAGAACCAGAACCGGAGAAGGTCCTTCATCATCACATGCAGAGATGGCAATCCCACCATCAGTTCCAAAGCCTCGCCCCGTCAAGCCGGCGAAACGTGGTGCACTGCTGACATCGCGAATGGGAGACCTCCTGGTTAACCAATGGCAACATTGGTGAGGTTGACGATGATGTTGCAATGGAAGGGAGGAAAACATCACTGGCTCCAAAAAGGATGCGGGGAAAGAAAGCGGTGATTGAGCCATCGGCAAGGACCACCCAAAGTAAGTCAACACCAAAGCCATTAGACAGTACTCCTTGGGTGACAAGAGCAAGGGGAAGGAAGTGATGTACTTATCCCACACTGTCTCCCCTTATGTACATATCCATGTCATGCAATGGGAAGTAGGTTATTGGTGCGCCGGACTCGAAACATGGACCTGGTGATTGATACTCGGGCCTCGGTAGTCCTCAGATAGTGAATAAATCGGAAATGGGAGTTCCATACATCCATAATTAAGTAGTTTACATGACATGAGTGGGTTCATAAACATTCAAAAGTTCACAGGTAATTTGTCTACTAACAGAAATTGTGTAATTTACATTTGAATTTGATCTTCAAACCTAAGAATGAGGGAATCTAATACCTTGAGCATTTCGGAAGTCAAACGTTCAGCTCTTTGCAGCCTCCGGAGGTCTTCATCAGCTCTTCTGAGTTTGTCAGATGTTTCTGCCCAGGCAGTTCGGAATGGTCTCTCAGCCTCGAGTAGTTGTTGGATGGATGGGTCGGGAATATGTCCGTGTCGCTGTTTGTAATCCCGGACCCGATCTTGAATGGATTGAACTAAGAGACAAATTAGCAGAAAGATAAATGATTATATCAGATACTCACTGCCTGTGTGATTGTAAGACTCAAATGGCCGGAGATCCCAGGACCATGGCAAGCAATTCTTCATAAGTGACATCCGGGTGTGGCAAATCACAGTTGGGAGATTTTGCAATCGCTTGGGAGATGAATTAAGTAAGGAACCTGGATGGTAGGGAGAAACCTACATGCCCTGGATACTACCGGTGCACCTGAGACCTCACTATCCGAATCAGCACGCTCCTGCTTCACCTCACAGTCGATCAGATCATCTTCAGGCCCTAAGTACATGTCTGGGTGAATGGGGAAACCCAGTTGATCAGGTTGGGCCGGAAGAGATTTATCTGTAAGGGTTTAGTGAACAGAATGGTGAGATGTTTTGATTGACAGACCAGGGAATTCTGGCATAAAATCTTCATCAGGCCTGAGGTACAGGTCCGGGTGGATGGGTACATCTGGGTGATAAGGTTGGGCCGGAGGTGATGGATCTGTCAGGCTTTAGTAACCAGGGATGGCTGGACTTTTCATTTCAATCGATGAACATACCCGGGATCTCAGTCATAATATCTTCATCAGGCCTGAGGTAGAGATCTGGGTGGATGGCTAGACCCAGCATATCAGGTTGGGCCAGGAAGTGATTGATCTGCAAGACCTTTGTGTCAACATGCATTGTTAGATGATTTAAATAATACTCACCATGCATCCCAGCCATCAGGTCATCCTCAGGCCCAAGGTATAGGTCCAGGTGAACCGGGAGGCCTGGTTGATCACATTGAGCCGGAGGTGAATGATCTGTGAGATTTGAGTGACCATGGATGATTAGATTGTCATCATATCAATTGATAAACTCACCGGAAATTGAAGAAAAGACCTCTGGACCATTGGATGACACAGAACATGATTCTGGGTCATCAGCCAGGCCCAAGATTTAATTGATCTGAGGATGTCCTGGTAAATTGATAAGGCATGATGGATGTTGAACATACCTGTTGACATCCGGGACATGGTTGATTCATCCACATCCATTGAGTTATATTCAGTGACCGGAGGGTCATTGAATCTAACTGTAGCAGGGGAGTTCATGTTCTGTGAGGAACTGATCAACTGATTCACTGATTATTGATAACTTCGAAGTTGAACACAAGGCACCGGCAATTGCCAAAATTGAACCACGACCAAACAAGGACAAACAATCAACGAAATTTTACATTGTTAATCACTGATCTTGTTTTTACTGAAACATCATCCTTGTGATAACTGATTTCAACCTGAATACAACTTGATTTCTACCTGATCTCAACACCTTCAACACTTTCAATTGAAATACCATGTCTACTCCAGTTGACACCTCTTTGACCGGCCTTGAGAAATCACTGCCAAAATCATGGCCATTATCACTGGCACTTGGCAGCTTCCTCCAGGCCACAGCCACTTTTCTCTGACAACCCAGGTCAGTACACTCGTGGTATGTAGCATTGTCATATTTTCTCCCCTTCATTTTTTTCATCATCCAGGTAGGCTGATGTGGTCCGGCAATATGGGAGTGGTCCCTACCTTCCGGGTCTTGTGTGTTTGTGCTCAAGGGAGTTAATTTGTGTTTGGGGCATAACTCCTCAGGTCTGGCCCAACTGGCACAGCATCGGGTACGATGATACCCGTTTGTTGACGCACCCCTGGCACAGCAAGGTTCTTGCCTGGGAGGAGTTAGGTGATCACACCTTTGATCTCCCGGTCGTGTCCGGTCCTTCAGTAGGTCCAATTCCTGTGGATCTTCCACCCTCGCCTGTCATTGCCGGGCCTTCTACCAACCCTGCCTCCGAGTCCTGGGAGAAGGGAAAAGGTAAGGCAGTTGTCCCAGGACCCAGAACCAGAAGTGGAAGGGAGTCGGAAGAGGAAGTCTCCAATGATTCCAGCACTTCCCTCCCAACCCCCAAAGTCCGCTATGAAGACTCGGAAGCAGGCGAAGACCACTGGCCTTGCCAAATTCAAGGCATGTTTGTTGAGTCAGAAGATGAGGAGGACTCGGTCACTCAGGTATGTCCTCTGGTTCATTGTTTCATTGTCTTACTCATCTTGTAGCCAATTTTGCGTGGGGTTCCGGAGGTCGTCCTCCCCCGGCTCTCCCCAGATGTTGCAAGGATGTCCAGATCACCTTGGTCACCCCGGAGCCCAAAGAAGAAACCCTTTGGGCCTGCTATGGTAAGTCGCACTTTTGCATCCGGCACTCGGGTGAGTCCTTACAATGTGCCAGGCAATTGCCGGCAAACATCCGGAGGTCATCGAGCCCCCTCAGGCAACTCCCGAACCTATGGTAGAGGCACCCCCAGTCATTGACGCAGGTGATATACTCATTCCTGGACCTGTAAGTACACCATTGAGACTTGGTGTGTCTATGAACTGACGTCTCGCACAGAATAACCCTTGCCAGGCTTGCCACAAGATGGAATGGCCCTGCGCAACTCGGTTTGACAAGAGGACCGGCGCCCCGTGCATGTCCTGCATCTACTGCACCACCAAGATTAAGTGCATCTCTGTGAGTATGGGAACCCCGCCGAAATGTGTTCGAGGTCAATCTGTCACCCAGACCACCAGGAGGACCAGATCCAGGACCCCTTCCAAAGCTCCCTCCAAAGCTCCGGCCGCCTCACAAACCACTGGCCAGATGCGGAGTCAATCTCGGGTCTCTTCCATCACTCCCGGTCCATCTCATGCCCAAACACCAAAGGCACAAACACGCGGTTGCAGCAAGACTGTCACTGCTGCCAAGGAACCTACACCTGCACCAGCTCGTAAGTCACCCGAATTTTCTATGTCCATCTGACATAATGTTCCACCTGTAGCAGTCCCATCTTCGACTTCCGGTGTTCCTTGTTTGGCACTCGATGTGCCAATGCCGGATTTGCATGCCATGGCAATGGCGATTCGGGAGGGTGCAGCTCGAATTGCCGCTCTCGAGGAGCGTGTTGTTGAGCAGGATGCTAAGATTGACACCCTGCAACACCTTCATGAAGGCCTTCGATGTGAAATCATCCTCCGGCACCCAACATTTCCACTTCTGGATGCCCAAGGTGATGCAACATCATTTTTGCTTCATCAACCTGTCCCTCCGGCCATGTCAACCC